TTCACTTAATTTTACCTTCCATAACAAAAATGCAGCGGAAAAGTTCTTCAAAATATATTAAACGAGACAGTGGCAACAACAACAAAATCATGAAATATCACAATAAAATGGGAAAAAAAAATATATACCACAACACAAAGCTATTCACCAAACACTACCCTGAGAGGGAGGATAAGCAAATAAAGAGCACATGAAAGGTAATGTGCTTCCCAGTGCATTCCTGGGAGACACTCATGCAACACGAGAGTGGTCTGGATGCTGTGGTTCTCATGCCTGCTCTCAGCAGAGGAAAAGTGAGATGATAATAACCCCCTTCTGATGTATAGGCAAGGGACATGAGCTGACAAACAGTGTGATTCATGATCCTTGTGTTAGAGGGGAGTGACAAATGATTGATAATATATTTCCACATTGTTTCTGACAGGTGGCTTGTGGAAGGAGAGATCAATCCCAGGTTCTGAAATGCATAGAGATCTCAGTGCAAGGTAAGAAGGCAGCAGCTAACACATGAATTATGCTCCACAGTGCTTGAGATCATCTGAGCAGCAGCTATGCTTCCCTTTGGGCATTTTATGCAGTAAATGCTCTATTTTCCAAAGCATTCAGCATCCTCTGCTTTTCCCTGATGCTCCTGTGTGTTCAGGATATTGAATATCATACTGGAATGGACCTTCAGAAGACCATGCATTTTTTAGCAGGGATTTTCAATAATTCACAGGATCAGGCCCTAAGTATGCGGAGTATTAGACAAGAAATTTTCCAGTCTCTTTACCACACAATTGTAAATGCAAAGAGCCTCTGGTTTCCATGTAGTAACAGTGTTTCAATCTCCCAGCCATATAAAATGCCTGGCTAATTGGACTGGTAGAGGAGAAGGGTTTTTTTGTGTTTGATAAATTAATCAGTGAGCACTGCTGTACATTTCCCACTAAAATTCTTAATTAGACATAAAATGCCAAAGAATGAGATTCTTTCTTTAGTTTTTAATTGAAGGGATGACTTTTGATCCTCTATTAGTGAGAAGAGAAGAAAGCCTTTCAGACAGAAGCGGCACCCCAGCTGTTGCTCAGCGTCTGAGAGGTTCAGCACTGCACTTCCACGAATCCCAGGAGCCTACTGATACTTAGCATAAACATGCTAAAAGGATCAAATTGACATTCACACAAACTAGAGTCCACAAAATCACAAAAGCTCTTAATCCAAGCTTCTGTGTAAAAGGATCGCTTCTAATTACCAGCCTAGACTAATCATCAATGTTTAGCTAATAAAAATGAAGCTATCAATAGCAAAAGCAAATTCTGTAATGCTGGTAGAGTCCAGGCATAAGCTAGAAGATGATTTAGTCATTCATTGCAGCATTTCTTTCTTGCTTAGTTTTTCAGCATTTCCAAAGCTTTTGAAACTAATGAAGACAAAAATCCCTGAGGCTTCATTGGCTACAGGTTTCACACAAACACTCACACACACACAAAGGCAAGCAGGTCAAGAAGCAGGGCAATTGAGGATATCCTGTTAGAATTCTCTGTAGGTCTTTGCTCCTGCCTGGTACTGCTCAGTGGAGCTAACACTTAGCTGGACCCTTAGGCAATGTTATAGGGCAGCTGCAAGTCAAGGTGAAATGCCACTTCTGCTCTTTCATTAACCCTCCCGGGCCTGTCATTAAATATGGCAGGCACAGCATTTTCCAGATCAGATGGAAAAGCACTGCCAATCCCAGGAGGCAGAATTTTTTCGATGCCTAAATTGATGAACAAGACAAGGTCAGCAATTTTCAGTTTATTGACAGAACTCTATTTATCTTTAGAAGTATTGAAATGGTATTCCAGGTGCCCTGGAGCAGAACTGTGACCAAACCAAAAAGAGAGTTTATGAGAACCACTATCACTTTACTACCTGAAGTACTGTGAGTGGCTTTAAATTAACTTGCTACATTGGGAGTGATTTTGTGATTAGAAACATTTTCATAAGAAAAGAAATTAAATAAATGCAACAACACACGATAGATGGAGACAAACACAGAGAAGCAGAATAATAGAGAAAGAGCAGAAACTGCAGCCAACTATCCATTTAAAGTTAAATATAGGTTCTGATGCAAAAATTGTGTGTGGGCTTTGTTTGAGGTTTGTTTGGTTGCTTATAAATGTTTATCACTACCAGGCTGACTAACTGATCTAGATCTCAGTGGGAGAAGGAGAACTGACCATTTGAAATCTGCCGTCATCACAGCAATTCACTCATGACAGCTACTGAAAGCCACAGCTGACCTCCGCTTTTTTTTATAAAACTAAATAACTTCAGTTTATTCATAATGAAGAGTAATAATAATGGGTAACATATTGCTGCAGGAGCAGTTTACAAAAACTGGATTTTCCCCTTTAACCATTGGAAGGGGGTTGCACTGAAAGGCCCTGCCTTCAGCTAGAAAAAAGTGTCCTTTTTTGTCCCCCCAAACAAACGCAGATTTTCTAAAAGTAGGCCAAAGAAAGAAATGAAGGTAATAATTGTTTCTAGCAAAGACTAGAAAATATAGTTAAAATCTGGAGCCTACTGAATTTACTTCAACCCACTAAATCAATGGCAGACTGGTCTGACCAGAGCAGGGGATGTGGTGGCTGCATCTCTGTCCCTTGGGCTGCTTCATGAATGAACACGTAGCCTTCGTTAAAACTGCAAATTAAACTGTTGCCTTCCTAGCTTTTGCTGCAAGTGAAATAATTTCTGCTAGTTAAAATGAGTGAAGACCACACCTTTGTCCCCAAGGAAGACAGAGTCTAAGGACACGCCATCTTTTCGTTATACAAACTATATATTTAGGGGGAAAGCAAGCTGGGATTCCATGGTACCACTAAGCTAACTTCCTTGGATGAGGTTATATTTTTTGGAGATGTTGTACTGCAGACACCCCGGGTCTTCTAACAAAAATGGTCTGGTTACTTAGCCTTTGAAACAGGCAGCATCTCTGCATTCTGATTAAGTCCTGACATTGGGACGCCTGGAAAAAAAAAAAAAAAAAACAAACTTCTGGGTGCCAGCAAAGAAAGCAACACCAAAAGTGTGTGAGAAAGCAGCTGGGATTGAATCTCTCAAGGTTGAAGCATGATTCCAGGGCTGCCCCTCTGCTTCTCACAATGATCAACTACCTTAACTGGGGCTTGAAATGAATGTGGCTGCAGGGCTGCAACTCCAAGAGCATCCTCAAAGCCACTGAGGACATTTAGAGACAAGGATGGGTCTGATGAAGTTCTGTAGAATCCAAGCTGCTAAGAGCCACCAATTTAGATTTGCACAGAAGCAGGAATTTCTTTCTAAAAATGTAGGCATTAGCAGGCATTGAGCACCCAGGGAGCCAGAGAACCTGGCAGGGTTTCACTTTTCCCCAGTTTGCCCTTCAAGGACCCCAGATGGTGTTGAGTGGATGTGTATGTATGGAAAATGCCAGCTGGCAATTAATCTCAGAGATATTTCTGAAGAGGTAAACATTACTTTTGTCCTGGAAGACTAAGGATATTAATGATGCAAACTAAGTTTCTGGGTAACCCTTCAAAGTAAAATTCTTATAGTTCCTCCAGACTAGATTTGCAATTTTTAGGAAGTGGTCAAAGGATCAATACCTGAGTTTTGCGCTTTGAGCAGGGAGTATCTAAGTATCTCAGAGTTTCCTGATGATAGTTTCCTTTATGTCAATGATTCATGTCAATTTTAGCTAAATTCTCTTTCCATTTACCCTGGAGCACATCTGTGGGCTTAGCAAGTCCATGTATATTTCATTATATCTTTCACATGTGTATTTCACATGAACCTGCTCTCATCTGGCTGCAAATTTAACTTGGCAGTGCAAGTGTTAGCCACCAAGTGATGTTTTCACCAGAAAACATGGCCAGCATCCCTCCTACTTCCCGACTCCTCTCTTCCTGCTGCATCAGCCTCCAGTCCCCACTCCCAGCTGTGCCCTGGGTAGGAAATGCAGTGGCACTTGTGGGCACAACTTCCATGCCCAAGGATGGCAGGTGAAAGGCACAGTATCTCACAGTTTAATTGATGTAGCCATAGCATCAGCCTCCAAGTCAGCCACAGACCCTCCTCCTCACTGCACACAGCCTCTGACACCTTCACCCCAGTTTCCAGATGCTTTACTCACCTCCCCTCTTCTGATATGTTGGTGTGGCTCCATGCTGGCCTATGCAAATTTTGGTTCTATGCAAATTGCTTATGGTATGCAAATCAATGCATTAAATAACTAACTTAAAGTGACACACACAGAGATGTGCATAACTTGGCAGCTATAAATCTGGAATCGTTCCACTGACGTCAATGGTTTCACTTCAGATAGGCTCCAGCATGGAAGGTGTTGAAATCTGGCCCTGTGATATTTTCAGTCAGCTTCTAAACACAAACTCAGGAATTAATGATTTTAGAGGTGTCATTATTATTATTGCCTGTGGGTTTTGTTATTATTTAGGTTTGTATGACTGAAAATACACCAAAATGTGGTTTCAGAATGTGCTTAATTTCAGGACAGCTCACGTTGATGATAAATAGAGCACCTGTGGTCTGTCAGAACTTCAGGCAGTTGGAACCTGATCCACTTTGGTCCTAGTGGCATAATAGTTTCTATTTTAAAGTAGCCAGGGCCTAAAATGCAGGATTTATGCCAAAAAGTCTTCAGAGGCAGATGTACACCTAAAGTATTTGAAATCAATTTAGAATGGAGAATGAGTATAGATAGTTCCGTGCCACATGCCATGTATTTTTGATCTGGGGCTGGGAGCCTGGCAGCATATGCACCATCTTGTGTAACCGCCCCCTGACAAGGATCTGCTGTTATTGTGTGCAGGGAAAGCAGAACATGGTAAAGGTTAATGCTGCACATGGCAGCACCACAGTGCTGAGCAGGGCCCTGGCTGTGACTGCTCCAAAAGCGCTGTGCAGTCATTTACACATTCGCAAATGTCGCTTTCACATGGCAGAATTTCCACCCACTTTTGCCTGCATGTAAATGACTTCAAGAGATGCCAGGCATTAAGTGTTCTCACAACTGCCCCCAACATCCCACTGCTCAAAAACAGTGCTTCAAAAGACTCCTAGAAAACCCTGCAAGACTTTCAAAATAAATCTGTTTGTGTTTCTGAGCCTTCTTGGTCACTAGTGGGCTTAGGCTCAGAGTTACAAGGATATACTGAATTACAGGACATGTGAAACGATGACAAGGAGATCCAGCAAAGCCTGATAATGAGAGACTGGAAGAGCCAAACTCTGCTCCTGCTGTCTATTTGATTTGTTCAACTCACCATAAATGCTGTTGCATACTGCATGGGTAAAAAGCTACAGGAGGTTTGTATTGCATGAAGAAGCTTCCAGATTTCTTTTTAGTCAACTGAACTAGCATCAGAGATTATGGATTTAAATATAGAAGCAGTCTAAACTGGAAGTGTCTGTGCCTAACTGTACAAAAACTGTAACAAGTGTGTATTATGTTTTTATCAATATTTTCCTTTTGTTTTGTGTGTGGTTTGGTTTGGGTTTTTTTGGGGTTTTTTGGGTTTTTTTGCTGACATTGTAATTATGGTATCTGCATGTTTCTGTTGCTACAACTAACTTCAACTGACAAAATTAGAAATGCCTATTATAACCATTAGTCTGGGAATGCTTTTTAGTTTGTTTAGGTTTTTCTTTTTTAATCCTAACAGTCTCCCTGCAGACCTGAACTGACATCAATTTACCAGTGTCTTGACATCTTAAAGTTGTTTCTTATAAAATTTGCATTGGTGTCATTTTGTTTCAAGCTGATATTGTGACAGTGTCTCCCTGGATTTATACTGACAATTTATTTTTGTTTTGACATCATGTCATCCCTATAGCCCTTCACTAGCTTCTATCGTAAGTCTGTGGGTTTAAATGAAAAGTGGTTTCTTTGTGCAAACTACAGTAACTAACTAAACTTTTTCAGTAGCTACTTTTCTGACCTCAATATCTAGCTATTGATTGCACTTGGGTTTTTATAGAAATGTCAAAAGTTCCTGCCTAGTGCTTTAGGCAGCTCTTCCATATGTACCAAATAAGGAAATTAAACCAAAGCTCCCCTTGAAACTAAAAAGTAATTGCCTATAAAAAAAAAGGTGAATGCATGTTTATAAAACCAATATCAAACAAACAAATGGGCCCTGTTGGTGGCATTGCCTGGAGAGCTGCTGATCCTCCTTTGCTTTCACTGAAATGTTAGAAACACCTTTTTGGGACTGAACATAACATCTGTTTCCAGGTGTTTCCTTGGAAAACACAAATTCCTCAATATCTATATATTTAATATGCTGTTTGTATTTCATTTAAATATCAAAAATGACATTAGGCAAGCGCTGGTGCAGGCCAGGGGAGGGGAGACTTCAAGAAGGTTCCCATGTGATATTATAGCTTTGAACCTGGTTTATTTTTTCAGCTCTTTCATTTTTAAATTCAAAGAGGCAAGAAGGATTGTGAGCAATGTCACGAACACCTTGTGACCCTTCCTGAAGTAGAGCCATTGCATGTTAGAGCTAAAATTCCCAAGGGGATATTTGTAAATTATAAAGCAAAATCCTGCCAGTGATTATTGAGTATTCCTAGGATTATCCATGATCCTGACAGAGTGGCCTGTGTATGTGATTTTGCAAAAGCTATTTTTCATCAGAGTATGTGCATGGTTTAATGAGATATTTGCAGTGGTAACATCATTTCTGTGTTCTGGTATAAATGGTTCAGCTTCTATATATCATACCTGGTAAATCACAGTATGGGTCCAGAGAAAAGGAGCCTTCACCAGCAAAATTTTCTCATTTTTATTGGCTCAGAATATAAATTCTGACTGATGGTTACGGTAATTTGCTTTCACTAATGTCTCACCATCAGTGTCTAGGCAGAAACCCCTCATGGTTTAACCAAAATTAAGATCTCAGATGTGAATCTTATGTGTGTGTGGGAGTTTATTTATTCTGCCCCATTTCACAAAGAACAATGAAATCTGATTGTCTGAACAGGGTAATCAGGCATCATTAGAAAAGACTTCCAGCTCCTGTTCTAAAAGCACCCAGGTGTGACAGAGGTCCTGTGTGATACCTGTCAGCCTCACGTGGAGGTTTAAAAACCACAGCAGTAGATCTCACCTCCAGGCAATGAGATCAAGACCTAAGTATGACAAGACCAAGACAGGAGACATTTTAACAGCAGTGGAAATAGAGACCTGAGAAGACAGTGTGTGAGGCTGGTCACAAAGTTTATTTAAAACTCATCAAAACAAAAGTTATGGCTTCATTATAAGTTTACCCGACACCTTGAAAGTTAGATTGGAATTACTTTGAACTTTATCACCAGAATTCAAAGGGGAACCTTGGGCTTCAAACTACTTAGAAATAAACTGAATGCAAGACCTGCACTAAATGTAGATAAAATGTCAGATATCTATAAGAGTAGTGTCAATTTCTATAAATGATTCAGATGAGGAAAAATCATAGTGTATAAACCTATCAGTGAAGTTTCTTCTAAATCCTTAACTTTTCATTAGGTACTCTCTTTGCACCCTTCCAATATTGAAATATGTTGCTGCTGCTGTTAGAATTAGATCAGTATATTTCTGTTTATCTGCAGAAGCACTCAATCTGCCTTTGGCTTCAGCAGAGTTTCATATGTAATTAAACATCTGTCAGATTGGAATGTTCCTTTCAATAATTCTTTTGGGGAAGGGAAAGTCCACCACTGGAAATAGCACTCTGTGCATTAAGCATGGCAATGAGCACTCATATTAACCTTACATTTTAACCCTTCCAAGAACTTTTTACCTGAATTTAAATCTGGTCTTACTGCGTAGACATTTTGCAACTAACTTCTGATTTTTGGTCCCTGCCATATGCCAGTTTTTCACATATGTCAATCATCTCTGAGTGATGCTAGCTCTAAACACAGTTCAGGGACTTCAGCATATTGCTCAGGGTGTCCAAAAATGTAGGACCTTTCTGAAAATGTAGCTTTGCTCAGCTGATATTGAGCTTTCTTTCTGGCTAGCAATACTGATGTAGCTGCAAAGGAAGCTCTGTCATGCTCTGCATCTTGCTACAGCCTGTACAGGTCAACGGAAACACCAAGAAATCTGTGGTAGCAAAATCAGGGATTAGAAACTTGGAAAGTGTCTCAAAAGGTATGATTGCCTGAAACTTGGATTTTCACTGCCTTGAGCAGTTACCACAGCCAGACTCACCCTACCAGTGCTGGAGCAGTTCTGTGGATTCAGAACTGGTTCACAAGGGACCACAAGTTGTGAATAGTCCCAGATCTGGGTGTCATACCTGTGTGGCAAGAAACAGGTGAGGGCTGGTCTTGTTATGCTTCCCACAGAGATTTATCCAGGCTTAGGGTTTATTATCCTCAAAATACCCAGATCTAGAGATTACAGTTAACTATTATTTAGCTGCTCTAAATTGGAAGTTTTTCTTGCTGGGAGAACAGAGCTGACAAAGGGTTTGCTTATCCTCTCTGCAGAGGATATGGTCCCTTAATAGAAATTCCATGGTGTCCTGTGAAGTGAGACACACAGAGCTGCTGCTGATCCCCACATTTGGATGAGTTTGACCACAGATTTCTGCTTCACCAAACATGAAGGGTCAGTCAGGTATAAAACCAAGGGCTATAATACCACTGGCTGTGGAGGACTGCTTGGTGACAATGGTTTGTAATGCTTGGATAAGAACAGAGTTGTTGCTGTTCTTTACAGCATGAAAAATCCAGATATGTAAAAATCCAAGCATATGTATGCCCATTGCACTTTTGATGGTCATGTGATGAAAGGTAAAATCAGCTGTGAAAGAAAATTACATAATGTGAGTTTATTTTCATGTGCAGACAGCATTGGGAAGGATATATTGAAACTTACATTCTAATTTCAATATGTAACTGGTAACAGAGGAAAGTTCAAAATGACCCTTTGAAGATGTAATATTTTTTTGCTATAATTTAAAAGTCAATCAAAATTTTCAACCATTATTTATTGCATTTTTAATATGCCTTTAGTGTTTTCAGCATTCTCAATTTTTACTGATGTTTGAGTAAAACCAGCACCTATTTCTCAAGGATCTACATGTTATATTCCATAAGTTTTAACCTTGTGAAACTCCTTTTTAAAATGTGAACAAGCATCCCAGATGATGGGGAGGAAGAAGGGGAGCATAATCCAATTCAACATAATATCACTTCAGCTTCTCCTTATTCCATTACTTAAAAATTCAACATCAATTAAGTGTTAAGAAAATATAAATGTCTTGGTCAAGTAGAACAAAATCTACAGTAATTAATTGCTTCAATATTTCTTGCAGCCATTCCCCCTCCATAAGAAATTAATTTTCATTCTTCAATACTTCAGACAAGATACAGGACATGGAGAACATGGTGATACAAGGGGAGAAAATTAATTTGGTTGATGTCATTCTGTAGTTGAATCCCAGCATTAATATCCTTTGTATAGTGACTGGGAATGATATCTGAATTTAAAAGTGATTCTGTGAAATTTGAGGCTTTACAGAATTGATATTGTTCTGGGAATGAAGATGTTGCAATCTTCCTGCCATTTGCAAAAGCCAGTAAAAGTGAAGAATCAAATGAGACCTAAAATTTCCATCTCTCTCTCCAAAAAACACAGCTGTCATCATCATCTCCCACTCCCCTTTTGTAATGATCACACAGACTTGCCAAGATAGTCACGTCTACGATTGTCTGTGTTTTGATGGATGAGCCCTTAAAAAAAAAGAAAAAAAAGCTGAAATATGCCTGAAGGCAAGAAAAAGAAGAATGTGTCTTTGTGCATAACTTGCACTGGCCCCTAGATGAGAGATAATTCTGGCCAGAAGAGAACTTCAGAAATATCTGAAGCATTTTGCAACCCAGGGAGGGAATCAGGTGAGATGGGTTTGGGTTCCTACCTGTGTCCCAGTCCAAAGAATCTTCCTTAGGAAGGGAATTCTCCCACAGCTAAGCAGTATCTGGGGGCAGCTGATGTTTTGCACCCCGTGCTGGCCTGATTAACACTGGGGTTTGTACCTCAAGAGTGAAAGAACTCCTCTGCAGCTGTGCTGGCAGAGCACAGGCTGCTGGTGTTAGGCTGGGGCAGCCAGATCACAGAGGGGAAATGTGGCTCCAGGTTTAGAATATAAAAATTTTAAATGCCCCACCACTGAGATAATCTGAAGTTTTTTACTGTGCATTTGGTGCAAACTGATTAAGCTTTCTTTTCTTGACTCTGAAGAGAGTCTTAGCTCTGACTTGAGTCTGATTTCAGATCCATTTATTATAAAACTAGTGTTTGAAGGGTAACT